ATTTTGAGATGAGACATCATTCTGTTGCCTAGGCTGGAGTTGCAGTGGCAAGATCTCAGCTCACTGCAACCTCCACCTCCCAGGCTCAGGCGATCCTCCCATCTTAGGCTACCGAGTAGCTGGCACCACAGGGGTGTGCCACTGTGCCTGGCTAATTGTTTATATTTTTGGTAGAGATGAGATCTTACTATGTTGCTCAGGCTGGTCTTGAACTCCTGAGCTCAAGCCGTTTACCTGCCTTGGCCTCCCAAAGTGCTGGGATTACAGGCATGAGCCATCACACCTGGCCAATTTTTGTATTTTTTTTTTTTTTTTGTAGAGATGGGGTTTTAGGCCAGATGTGGTGGCTCATGCCTGTAACCTCAGCACTTTGGGATGCCAAGGTGGGCAGATCACCTGAGGCCGGGAGTTTGAGACCAACCTGACCAACATGGTGAAACCCCATCTCTACAAAAAAATACAAAATTAGCTGGGCATGGTGGTGCGTGCCTGTAATTCCAGCTACCCAGGAGGCTGAGGCAGGAGAATTGCTTGAACTTGGGAAGCGGAGGTTGCAGTGACCTGAGATCACGCCATTGCACTCCAGCCTGGTGACAGAGTGAAACTCCATCTCAAAAAAAAAAAAAAGAATAGATAGGGTTTCACTACATTGCCCAGGCTGGCCCTAAACTCTTGGACTCAAGTGATCTACCTACCTTGGCCTCCCAAAGTGCTGGGATTTGAGGTGTGAGCCACTGTGACTGGCCCTCACTTTATTAATCTATAAAATTAGGAATTTATGTAGGCAATTTCTAAGGCCACTATAAATTATATAATTTGATGAGTATAAAACATTGATCACTTTTTAGGTTGGTTTGCTCCCATTTTTTCTTCCCAGTATAGATTAGTTGACTTATAAATTATGAAACTATATGTTAAAACTTAGGCCAGGCACAGTGGCTCACGCCTGTAATCCCAGCAGTTGGGGAGGCCAAGGTGGAGGATTGCTTGAGCCCAGAAGTTGGAGACCAACTTGGGCAATGTAGTGACACCGCATCTCTACAAAAAGAATGGTTAACCAGGAGTGGTGGTACATGCCTATAGTCCTAACTACTCGGGAGGCAGAGGTAGGAGGATTGTTTGAGCCCAGGAATTGAAGGTTACAGCGAGTTATGATCATGTCACTGCACTCTAGCCTAGGTGACAGAATGAGACCCTGTCTCCAAAAGAACCAAAAAAGACAACAGCAGAACAACTTAGATTAATTAGCAAATTTATATAATTTATATAAGTGAGACACTATTATCTTTGAATATAATATTATTAGTATAAAATCTATGAGGATGGCCAGGTGTGGTGGCTCACACCTGTAATCCCAGCACTTTGGGAGGCCGAGGTGGGTGGATCACCTGAGGTCAGGAGATCAAGACCAGCCTGGCCATCATAGTAAAACCCCATCTCTAAAAAAAAAAGAAAGGAAAAAAAAAATCTATGAGAATATAAATGTAAAAGCTTAGACATAAACCTAGATTTAATTAAATATGAAAAAATTTTTAAAAATCAAACCATTGAATGTATAATTTATCTGAAAGCATGCCCAGGGCCATAAAGTAAATGTATAAATATAAACATATGGAAAACTTTACTTTGTATGTGTATATATATGTGTGTGTTTGTATGCACATATATGTAAATATATATAGAGAGGGAAGATTCCAGTGAATTTTCAGATAACTGAATTTTATCTTTGAAGGACCCTCAAACTTAGCAATATTGAAAATATAATTTTCTAAAAACTTCATATGTCCTTGCTGTCTTAGATTAATTTATCCTTTTGGAATTTGTTATTTTTTTTCTATCAGTATACCTGCTTTCTTAAGTCATTTTGATTGATTGTGACTTTGAGAAATCAGATAACCCAAGGTTGTGAGAATTTTGTATGAGTTGAGAGTCAGTAATGCTGAATGGTAGCTTGAGGATGTGCCCTACGAAATAGAGGTCATAAACCTGAATGAGTTCAGGCCCTATATTTGTATATTTCTTTCTTTTTTTTTTTTGAGACAGAGTTTTGCTGTTTCTAGGCTGGAGTTCAGTGGCTCCGTTTTGGCTCACTACAATCTCTGACTCCAGGGTTCAAGGGATTCCAGTGCCTCAGCCTCCCAAGTAGCTGGGACTATAGGCGTGTACCACCACGCCCAGCTAATTTTTTGTATTTTAGTAGAGACGGGTTTCACCAGGTTGGCCAGGATGGTCTCAATCTCCTGATCTCATGATTCACCTGCCTTGGCCTCCCAAAGTGCTGGGATTACAGGCGTGAGCCACCACGCCTGGCGTATTTTTGTATATTTGTTTCTTAACTCTATTCTAGATGACTTTCCAAATAATTGCAATGCCGTTAGGTTTGTAAAATATATTTAATGCTTTTAAAAAAATATTACGATCGGCCGGGTGCAGTGGCTCACGCCTGTAATTCCAGCACTGTGGGAGGCCAAGGTGGGCAGATCACCTGAGGTCAGGAGTTCGAGACCAGCCTGGCCAACATGGGGAAACTCTGTCTCTACTAAAGCTACAAAAATTAGCCAGGCATGGTGGTACACACCTATAGTCCTGGCTACTCAGGAGAATGAGGCAGAAGAATTGCTTGAACCTGGGAGGCGGAGGTTGCAGTGAGCTGAGATTGTGCCACTGCACCCCAGCCTGCACGACAGCATGAGACTCCATCTCAAAAAAAAAAAAATTACAATTATAAGACAGAAGAGCTAAAAAATAGTGTAACACTCATGTACTAACCACTCATTAAGAAATAAAACGTTACCAATACCATTGAATATTTGAGTGCCTATGATGTGCGAAGTACTGTTTGCTATATTGTCTGCATAGCAGAGAACAAAACACAAAAATTCCTGTCCTCGTGGAGCTTGTGTTGTCACAGATATTAGGTAGAATAGTTATTAGATCTGAATGCAAATAAAGAATAAATAGGTACTGTCTGACATCATAAATGATATTCTATCAGTGCGTTTAGCTTGGTGGAGTTCATTTTGTACAGACTAAGACATTCAATCTCTAATGTTTGGTTTCATTGCCTAGTCAACATTATGCTATTGTTGGTGATCCTACATACATTAGGTCCATAGGATCATCTCAGGTAATATTTTTGTGTGTTTATGTATTACGCAGCTGAAGGAAATACTGCTTATCTTTTAAGGCATTTGAAAGGAAATTAACTTTGTAGTTTAAATTCAAAACTAAAACCTTCAAGAAAAAGTGACACCTTAGATTCAGTAACAGAATTATAGATTCACTCTTTCTTGTGATGGGCTTGAAATTTAAAAAATTCTGGCATAGTATACTGAAAACTAGATGAAGTAGCACCTTATAATTATAGATTTAATATTTCCTGTGATAGATTAGAAACTTTTTAAAAAAAAAACTGTGGTATACTATAAAGAAAACAACAAATTATAGTACTGTGAAAGAAACCAGGGTAAGTAGAAATGAATAAATACACATCAAAGTTAGCATTAGAAATGAGTAAATAAACCTCAAAGTTTGCATTAGAAAATAGAGTATCCTCAGAACATTATTTTCATTTGATATCGTTGTAGGTATCGTCAGATCCTGGAAAAAGCCATTCAGTTATCTGGAGCAGAACAACTAGAAGCTTTGAAAGCTTTTGTGGAAGCAAGTGAGTGAAATGGGAATTTCGTGCTTACCTTGTAATACTGAGCGAGACTTTACAGTATTCTCAAGCCTTGTTTTATATCAAATTATCAATGTGAAATATGCATTGAGATTGATTTTAGAGTTTCAGTTGTTTACAACTTGATTAATTTTCAATGAATTATCTTCAGAATTACAATCCCAATTAAAGTTTTGTATGGTTATTGTTATAATAGCTGATGAGGGATAATATGGCATAATAGTAAAGAGAATAGTTTGGATTCAAATCCTGTTATGCTATTTTATGAGCTGTATGATCTTGGGTAAATTATTTAGGCTCTATGTGCCTGCTTTTCCTCTTTAAAATGGGAGTATGATACTCTGTACAATTATTGGGAGGTTAAATGAGTTAATATACGTAATAAAGTGCTTAGAATAGTACCTGGCATGTAATAAATGCTATATAAGTATTAGCTGTTATTAATGTTCATGTTTTTTGAATTGGGAACTATAAATTTTCATTTTTCCAGACACTTTCCACAGTACCTGACTTCAAACATATCCGGTTATCTTGAAAATTAACTCAAAATTCAGGCTGGGATTTTATAGTGAGTTCACAACATTAATGATATTGATGGTGCTTTACAGTTTGCAGTGTGTTTTCACACACATTATCCGTCACATAGGCCCCATTTAATAACTCCATGACTTGACCGTATAGGTACAGATATTCCTGTGTAATATATTGTAAGAGGAGTCTCAGGATTAAGTGACTTTTTTTCAAGGACATTTAGCTGGCAGAGCCCAGATTAGAAACTAGGTTTTCCGATATACTACTCTTACTTGCTTATATTTCCCTGAGTAATACTAGCTTATATGGTAACTTTAAGTGGCTGATGACACCTGTAATAAAACAGTGTTCTCAGTCGCATCCAGAATTACCCAATAATGAATTCCAGTTAATATATGATAAACTAATTACAACTGCCTTAAAAAATTAATGCCTTGAAAAGTTACTGCCTTAAAGCTGAAAAGGTTACTGCTTAAAGAATCCTGGCCTCCAGTGTGAGATAAATAGCAATGGTTTCAGAAAAACTGTTAGGAGTGGTTTATTGAGAACATTGCACTGCAGTAGTAGAGAATAGTGCTTTTTATAAACTTTGATCTTGGCTGGGCACGGTGACTCTTGCCTGTAATCCTAGCACTTTGAAATTGCAGGTGTGAGTCATGGCACCCAGCTAAGGGATCTCTTGAGCTCAGGAGTTTAAAACCAGCCTGGGCAATGTGGAGAAACTTCGTCTCTACAAAAAAATACAAAAATTACCCTGGCATGGTAGCACATGACTATAGTCCAAGCTACTTGAGAGGCTGAGGTGGGAAGATCGCTTGAGCCCCAGAGGTCAAGACTGAAGTGAGCTGAGATTGCATCACCTCCAGCTGGGGTAACAGTAAGACTCTGTCTCAAAAAAAAAAAAAAAAATTTATACACACACACACACACGCACACTTGGATCTTTGTATAAACTTTGAATCCAGTGAATCACCAAGAAAAGCAGGCTGCTGTTAAAATCATGTTCATCAACTGAACAGTTTTTGAATCACTTATTTTCACAGTAACTGGTGCTTTAAGAGCTGAGTAATTTAAGCAAAGGTTCACAAGAATTATGCATTTAAAATGGTAGTAATAGTTATAATAGTAACATTTGTTGAGTGCCACATACCAGGTATTGTTTAAAGTGCTTTGTGTATTATTACATTTAAGCTTCACAACAACTTTATGAAATAGGTGATATCCTCAGTTTACAGATAAGGAAACAGAAGCACAGAGAGTTAAGTTTCTTGTCTGAAGCCATATAGTTCATAGTGATAGAAGCAGTGTTGCTCCAGTGCTTAATCCACACCTTATAAATGTTTATAAATAATACATCTAGTGCTCTCTGAAGTTCTTTTATTTCTTTTTCTTTTACTGTCTTGATAGAGTTTTTTTTTATATATATACATATATATATATATATTTTTTTTTTTTTCTTTTCTTTTCTTTTTATTTTTACTTTGAGACAAAGTCTCTGTTGCCCAGGCTGGAGTGCAGTTTGGCTCACTGCAACCTCCACCTCCTGAGTTCAAGCGATTCTACTGCTTCAGCCTCCTGAGTAGCTGGGATTACAGGTGTGCACCACCATGCCTGGCTTATTTTTGTATTTTTAGTAGAGACGGGTTTCACCATGTTGGTCAGGCTGGTCGCCAACTCCTGACCTTGTGATCTGCCCACCTTGGCCTCCCAAAGTGCTGGGATTATAGGCGTGAGCCACCATGCCCAACCTGAAGTTCTTATTTATTGTTTTTATTGGGAAAGTATAAGTGGCAATAACTGTTCTGGCAGCATTTGCTTTACATAAATTTCATGAAAATTATTTCACTGTTTTCTTTTTAAACTCTTTTTTGGAACAAGGTGGGATTATAAGCACATAAAATAAAAATATAGGTGTTTTTGTGCCTTTACTTTGTAGAAAATTAAAGAAGACAAAATTCTCAACTGTTAAAACTTTTTTCAACTATTTCTGTTTTTTAGAAAAGTTATGTTATTTTGACCGGATGTGGTGGCTCAAAAAAAAGTTTTTTAACTTTTTTTTTTTTTAATTTTAATTTTTTTGAGACGAAGTCTTGCTCTGTCACCAGGCTGGTGTACAGAGGCACAATCTCGACTTACTGCAGCCTCCACCTCCCAGGTTCAAGCGATTCTCCTGCCTCAGCCTCCCGAGTAGCTGGGACTACAGGTGTGTGCCACCATGCCTGGCTAATTTTTGTATTTTTAGTAGAAATGGGATTTCACCATGTTGGCCAGGATGGTCTTGATCTCTTGACCTTGTGATCTGCCAACCTTGGCCTCCCAACGTGCTGGGATTACAGGCATACGCCATCATGCATGGCCTATATTTACTGTTTTTGTGTAGTTATATGTAATCAGTTAATTTAGCATATGGAAAACTGATGATGTAATATAAAATGATAGGGGTATGGAAATCCTTGAATAATGCATTGAAGGCTGCACTAATATAGATTGTTGTTAGTATTAATTTTAAGTAAAGATTGATTGCTTTATGACAATTTGTAAGTAGCTCATGTTTTCTTATCTCTCTCTTTTTTTTTTTTAACAAGTGGTGAATGAGAATGTCAGTCTTGTGATCTCGAGGCAGTTGCTGACTGATTTTTGCACACATCTCCCTAACCTGCCTGATAGCACAGCCAAAGAAATCTACCACTTCACCTTGGAAAAGATCCAGCCTA